GATGTACGTATCTATAAAAATAGATCACCAAAATGTATTGTACGCCCATAACTGTCGAATGACTGAATCCAATTGGATAGTTACTGTTTTGTCGTGTTGGCTATCATTAGGACAAAGTTGTATAAAAGAAAGTTTCGATACATTTATCGGGAACATCGAGAAATAGGTTAATATAAAAATTGTTACTGGCTGTTACCACATGACCTAGTCATTAGTCAACAGTTCTGCTTATTCAGTCTACAAACCACAAGTAGGCCCTTTTATACATATTTGATCATTTGTTTTGTTCTTTTCTACATTCCTGAATCGTTGGATCATTACATTACCATAACTGTATTGATGTACAGGCATTTATTTTATTTTGTTCTGTAATAGCTGACACATATTGTACAAATTAAAATGATATTGTCCTTCAAAACTTTATAATAATGTTTCAATTTTACCAATTGCCTTTTAAAGTGATTTTTCTTGGTCTGCATTTGGTTGTCTGTGAAGTAGTGTCGAGTGTCGTAGTGCGCGGTGGGCATCTGTCGGTCACCCGACACCGCGACATCTGCCGACCTTGCTCTCGTTACCCCTGCCTTTAATGTGTGATTGTTATACAATATGTATCACATCAACCGCGCCAAATAGAACGTCAGTTGACAAACTACTCTTGTCAAAAAAAAAGCATATATACGGTCGAATTGAGAACCTCCTCCTTTTTTTGAAGTCGGTTAAAATACATTTAATACTACCAAGATAATATGATTTAATGATTTATCTTTGTACAGACATAATCAATTTCTGGTTAGTTTATCGTAACTTTAAATCTCCGTCTGGCATCACGTCATAAAGCATGGCTGCGCTCGCGTACCGTCCGTGGCTCGCCTCGTAAACTGAAGGAATGGGGTCGTCTGTTGCAATTGTAACATATATTGTAGCATCTTCAATACTCCTTTACACACTCCCTTCCAGTTTCCAGTAACTTGTTATCACGTTACTTTGTCTCGAATGGTTATTCATTTCATGTAATATATCAGAAGCAACAAATAAAATTAATCTAGTCTAACCAGACCGTCCACGAACTGGAACCACGGAATAAGAGCAAACTTTGTTATCATATTTATTATCACGGCGGTCATATTGCACGATGTCTTGCTTCCTGAAAGCACTCAATACAGACCATTAACCCGCTCAAATATGAAGTATTAACGCATGCGTAGTGAAATAGCGGGCATCGTCCATCACGCAGCACTTCAGCGCGTACACTCTCACGCATGACGCTATTACAATGTCACCGCGCAATTTACTGTCAGTTTTATTTACACTAATGCGCATGCGAGCTCGGATAATGTTCGCCTGATGGATTATTATAAATTTGTTTGATGTGTGCTGTTCCCCAATGCGACGCGACTTCAGCTCCTGGACCGTGAAGTTTCACTAATTAACATTGTACTAGTATAATTAATATCGTTCGTGGAATTACATTTATTCCTTATTGTCTTGAACAACAACTAAACTGCCGTTTCTTGCGGAACGGTGATGTATGAAAGTGAGATTCACAAGAGCAGTGAATGTAAATAAAGAAGTCGATCTAGATTTATCTAATTTAATACTGGGTATGCACGTGGCTTGTTTGTTAATGAGCTTTGTTTTCTTGGTTATATAGTTATACTGCTTAAATGGTTACGGTGTCCAATCATCTGGTTAAAGTAGTATCACAGTGCTGTTGCGACATCTGGTGACCGTAGCGAGTGAAATGTGGCATCAACATGCTACACTCGTCAATATTAACTAGATATAATAAACGCTTAGCGTATAACTATGTTTACGAAATCCATCATGAATAATAACGTTATTTTCTTGTGAAATTCTAAGATGAAATACAAATTTCTCAACAACGATCGCTTACATGGTCTTATTCACTGCAGCTTTGGAATCATCATCAACAATTTGTAATCTTAGCATAAATATGTATAAGTAATTTAGTAATGTTAACGATGTACTTAGTGATTGAAAGTGCTATTCTGGTAATCAGCCAGACTTTCATGAATATGTGATTCGCGATGCAACTGTCCACTTTCTAACCATCTTAAACTTGGTGTAATTAAACAACTGCAGTATGCCGCACTCATTAAAAGTAAGTGAGTAAAGAATAACGCCCCAAACTGCTTAATGTTTGTAGCGATACGATTTGTATCTCGAGCCAGATCTATATTTATCGGAACGTTTGACTGTTTTAATTTATCAAGACATTCTTGTATTATTAGACTTATTGTTATAAATATTTTAATTTCTTAGTTATTCATAACATAACACCACGCCTTTTATCCCCGAAGGAGTAGGCAGAACTGCACATTACGGCACTTAATGCCACTGTACAATGTAACACCCACTTTTCACTATTTATGTTATGAGTCGCATGTAATAGGGGGTGAGCCTATTGTCATATACCGGAAAAATTTCCAGAATCCGTAGTACTACTGAGATTTTTAAAAAACCCAGTAATACTTTGCCCGACCCGAGAATTGAACCCGAGACCCCTTGCCCGACAGTCGCAATAGCGACCACTCGGCCAATGAGGCAGTCTGTTCTTAATTATTCATCTATGTGTATTTAGTTGGCTATGTTTTTGTCGCATAATTAGCAAAGGAACACAAAACCTTTCTGTGGATAATCTCAATACGTAGTTGTTCATACTAAAGCTATTACTCAGGCTTATGTTACAAACGAGGTCGTTGCTTCTCCCAAGAGTTCCATAGAGTAAGCACTAGCTTGATTGTAAATTATAACATAATATGATAATAATATGTCGTTAATTCTAGTAGGGCACGATACCTACTCGGTGGGTATAAACTAAATAAAGGAATTAAGTTAATTATATTAATGATTAATTACCGGTCAGGTGTGGCCGGCGGCCGGCGGCGGGCGCACCGGCCGTGACGTTGGCCGCTCGTAGAGTATAAGGGCCAGCGCCGTCTGACCGTGAAGATATGCATCGCGGTACCTTGCCCCAACAGCATTGAGGAAAGAAAATTAATAAAAAATAACAACGTACCAACGTGCACTTGTGGGTCCATTAGCGGCTGGTATATACCAGTCTAGCGCGGTCCAATCGGCTCAAACAAGAAACTGTGAACAGCTTTGTAGATTGTTTTTGTAATCGATCGAAGTATAATACAAGAGTCTCAGTAGCGGTCTTCGTTGTTCATAAACTAACTCTGACTAGAGTTGTCGAGAAGCTCGTTAGTACTCTAGTTATGACTTAGATCACCAGCATTATTTACATGCCTCCACTAAATTCTTAACCTTGAAACAAGAATGTTAATTAAGCTGACTGAAACACAAACAATGGTGCAATCATATTTATTGCCATACGTTGGTATCGACGGCGCGGCGCCTGCACTGTCGGCCTCGCTGTTTAGATACACGCTCGTTGTCCTCTTGGCTGGAACTGTCATCTTGTTTCTTGATTAGAGCAGAAGGAGCACCTTCGGTGCGGTCTTTGCTTCGTAGAACTAAGTCGTAAACATGAACAAACTGACGACTGTACACGGCTATAACAGCTGGTTGCCAATAGGATAAACAAAGATTGAAGAGAACATATCAGTCTATCAGTGGACAACAAAGATTACGTTATTTAAGTAAACAATAATTAGAAGAACAAAGCGTCTTCGTACGTCCTTTCATAATTTCATTCTAGCTAAACTCGATAAAATCTCGCTCTGTGCTCTTGAAGGGCAAAGCTCCCTAAAGGAAAGTTAACGAAATAAAATTCCCATTATCTTAAGCACGGACTGTATTATCACAAGGGCCATTAGCGGGCGGAAGCGGCCCCCGTCCGGCACGCGAACATTCTCATTACCATTTAAGTACCATCGTTGACTGCTAGGTTTGGGACGGGGCGTCACTATTTAGGACACTGTTGCCATACCTATCTATTGTAGGTCACACAAAACTTGTAACTACATAATATACGTACTGTATTTGAATACATACCGTTACTTCATTGGCTTTTATGCACTTGTACTTAGGTCCACACCGAGTTCATTGGGTTTAAACTGTCAAACACCAAGCGGTCACCGGTGACCGCAACCTATTGTTCTATAATTGTGTCTACAAAACCGGTACTCGACGAGTTAAGACAAGGCTTTTATTTTGATTACATTCTTGTTGCATGGTTAAATACTCTTGCATTAATGTATTCTGACAGGCTTGTCGTATCTCGTGTCGCTCGCACGTCTCGTAGCCTCCAGACTGTGCGGCTCACTTTTATCGCAAGGTCCCGATACTACGCCGGGACATGACCACGATAAATTATACGCTGGTACGTTAATATATCTCAGCGATTCGCTGATTCAAATTCTTTCCCAGACCTATACGTATCGTAAGAGTACACTACCTATATTGGTATTAAATCGATATTTATTTAGGCTACAACAACTTGCGTGTTCCACCGCCACGTCAGTATACACATTATTATTCATTATGGACTCCTAATAACTGACGATAGCTCTTAGCGTTTGTAACTATTGGTTAGTTAGACTTAAAATGGTAAAATGTTCCGGTTCTATTTGTGATCTGTGCCATTACATTTACACAGGTCTACACGAATGTAAGTAAGTATTGTTGCTGTAGCACTACGTTATGATCTGTTATGATCCGGGCCGCTCATTCCTTTGCTAAAATGTAATGTAATTTCCTCAATTGACAATGGTTGCCAACGCGACCCGAGATAAGTAAGCGTATCTTCAATAATTTGGACTTAACCTAGCGATTATCTGTCATTTGGAGGTTGTACTCATTCGGTATACGGTGCTCCATGGACAGTAGGTTAAAAACAACCCATGCGTGCGTTTTGGTCAGATGGTTAACTGGGCTGTGGGCGGCGCGGCGCCTCCGTAAGAGCTGCAGTAGTGATGAAACTCAAAGCTGCACGCCGCTTCGGAAAACGTCCGGTTTTATACATAGTTGTACAATGTATTGTTAATGATAGTTGTTGTTTGTGTTGTCCACAGAGAAGAAGTGCGGAACCACGCGGTGCGGTGGAACGCGCAGTTCTCATTCGTGTGCAAGATGTGCGCTAACGCCAGCACCGGCGTGCTGGAGCCCGCCCTCATGAGGGTTTCCGTTCGCAAGGAGTGCAAAGGTAAATTCATCATCATCATATCAGTTACAAACCGTCCACTGCTGAACATAGGCCTCTCTCGAGATTCACTGAAACCGAAAGATTGTCTAAAGTACAAACTCTTTAGCAAACGTCAACTTCCTTTTGATTCTGACAATGATTGGAAAGGAGCCTGTGTTATGTTGGTGGATTGTTAAATTATACTCGGATAGATTTTTCTTGAATTTATTAATATAATGTGCAGAGCACACGACGTGTACACACACCAGTATGGAGGGTAGACAGGGGCATTCTTGACAAGTGTCCTACCTTATATAATACATTATAGTGAGGGGCCACTATTAGTAAACTAGTGATGATACATATAACATCCCCCTTTTTAAGTTTAAGCCAATTACAATAACACTTAATGACTTAATCTATTTCTTCTTGTTTGGTCTGACAATACGACAGACTTTATCATGTGAAATTCTGAACTGATTTTCTGTTTTATCTTGTTCTGAAGGCAATCGTTATTAAATTCCATAGTAATTAGGTATTTACTCCATGACATATCCCAGCACAATATTATCCCTCAATCTAACGTTACATCAGGGTTACATACTGAACCGACGCAACTGTTGACGAATTGTGTAAATAATTCCAAACTCTCTTTGTACCCGTATTAATATTTATATGTAAACTTTGCCTTTGAAACACTCGTCAGTTGAAGAGAGTACGCATCGTTTGGTTCTATCTACTCGGGGTACTAACTACTAACTGAAACTGGGTAATACAGCTTCAGCCAAAGTAAAGAATTCGATGAATTGAAATGTTACTTACACTAACGTGGCAATGTATGCATACGCTACTCGCGTCACTGGCCGCCAGCTGGCCGACTTTAATTCCTTGAAGTTTCAATCTGAAGGAGTTTGTTTGTTTGAACGCGCTAATCTCAGGAACTAGTGGTTCGATTTGAAATAATTTTTTGTGTTGGATAGTCCATTTATAGATTTAGAGGAAGACTATAAAACATCACGCTACGATCAATAGGTGGCGAGCAGAGAGGGTAGTAGCTGGTAACGTAATACATTGCAGTAGTTTACGCAAGATGTCGTTTTCCAGGCGGTAGGTCATACCAGAAGCTGGGCTTCTGCGACGTGAACCTGGCCGAGCTGGCGGGCGCGGGCGAGACGACGCGTCGCTGTCTGCTGGAGGGGTACGACCCGCGCCGACGGCAGGACAACTCGGTGCTGCGCGTGCGAATCAAGATGAACATGATCTCCGGCGACCCTCTCTTCAAAGTGTACGTTACATACTAATCTACTTATTGTGATGTTTACGACGCTCTCATTTGATTTGTACTGAATATACGAATACACGGTATACATTCCAGTCCAGAGCGCAAGCAGGAGGCCACGGACGGCATGGCGGGCGGCGACAGTGGCTCAGAGAGTGTCCCGGGCGGCACGCAACCTGACGACGACTGCGCCTCGTCCACCGCCTCCTCGGGCTTCGGCTCACTCACCAAAAAGAAGAATTACGGTATGTCTACCAACCCACACTGGCGCCGTGTTGACTTGCAAAACTACTGAACTTGTAAGTTTACCGTTGCGTCTGGCTTTGTCTGTACTAACTGGTGTTGCTGCGCGCCTATTTCAGAGGGTAGCATACCCCAACCTCTGTCCTTGTTGCCTTCCTGCGAGCTGCCCACCCCCGACGGGGAAGACTCGCCACTGGCCACCTCCGCGCCCGACCACCCCGGTAAGTGATGTTCATCGAAGTTAACGGTGGTAACCAAATGTGTTGTCGATATACGTTGAACGTTATTCGCTGTCGTGTGCTGCTTCTATACACATGCTACGTCTCCTTGCTACAAATACTGTATAGGGAATTGTTTCATATTTCAGGACTGACGATGGTGGCGGCGGTGAGCGGCGCCAGCGCCCCGGCGGCGGGCGGGCCGACGGCGGGCGGCCCTGTGGCGGGCGGGCCGGCGGCGGGCGGTCCGGCGGCGGGCGGGCCGGCGGCGGCCGCGCCCTGCGCCGCCTGCATGCAGCAGCAGCAACATACGCACTCGCGGAACTCTTCCAACACCTCCGGGGACATGAGCAGCAAGGTGTGTATACTCTACGTTACGACTGAAATATCTAATAGTGTAGATTTCAATTTAATACTTTTATGTTATATTCTATTTCCTATGCTACCGCAATATTATTTTTCGAATAAATGTTTTCCCAGGCGTCCGGTTACGGCAGCTCGTCAGCTGCGTCGGCGCACTCGCGGCAGAGCTCCGAGGGCGACTCGGCCGGGGACTCGGGCCGGCCGCATCACAACAGGTACATTGTGGCTTGTCGGCTCGGTGATGGCTCGGACGCGGGGACACGACGTCTAACCACGGTGCAAGTTCATGCTCGTGCTACCTCTATTGTGATGTCGCGTTTACGAGTCTTGTCATTGTCTGTGTAAAGTATGTGGTGCGGGATACTCGGAGACATACAGGCGCGGCTCCGGCGCCGCACGGCACGCGCACTGCTCACCTCGCCCACTGTACAGTGTCCATTGTTACGCTTTATGTTCATTTAATTTACTTAACTTTGTGTTCCGCACGGTCACTAACTTTATTTATTTCTGTTGCCACTCTTATTTTATTGCTTTTTATTAATTTTAATTTTTATGTTTTCGTTCTCCCCGCCGCCCCCGCACAGCGTCCCCCCCCCGTGCAAGCAGGGCCGCGCGCTCGCCCGCCTGCTCGTGCAGGCCGGCGACAGCTCGGAGCTGTACCTCACGCCCAACTGCACGCTCACCGGCCCGCCCGACGTCATCCCGCGCCACGCGCTCGCCTCGCTCGCCTCGCCCGCCTCGCCCGCCTCGCCCGCCTCCGACCAGTATTGCACGCCTGATGCCACGCTCGTCAATGGACATGAAAACTCATTCGCGATGCCGACGTACTTCGACAAGAAGAAAAAAGTGGCCGCCACTATCATCAGCGCCGCCGTCGAGCCGCTCACCAATTTCCAGATCTTCAAGCAGAAGTCGCTCAACACGATCCCTGCGTTGCTGGAGAAGAACAAGAAGAACGAGGAGCTGTTCAACAATTTCCCTTTCCTGACGCCTCTAGCGCACAGAAAGAACTCTCTCGTATGCAACTCGAACCGACTCTCCGGCTGCATAGAGGACGAGTTCTATTGCATTCCTTCCGACCCTGAGGTGGACGTGGGCTCCTCGGAGTGCATCGACATCCGGTATCGGTTCAAGAGTCTGTCGAACCAGGCTCTGAACGAGGGCAAGGTACTGACGTCGACGCCCAAGAGCGAGGCGGAGCAGCCCCGCAAGAAGGCGGCGCGGTGGCCCGAGGCGGGGCTCCGCCACAGCTACACGGAGCACGTGAGGTGAGCTCGCCCGCTTGCTGTCCGCGTCCTCTCCCATAACCTCTGCTGTCTACTAAACGGTTGCGGGTGGTTCCGGCGGTGCTACTTCTTTTAGTTTTTCCTCTGTTCTGTCTTGTGACTGTGAATGTGTCTTCTGTGTGACGCGGTCTTCCTCTGTCATAACGTGTGTTGAGACCGCGCGGGCTGAGCAGGCCAGTCTGTGCAGGCGGACGGAGTGCGGCGCCTGCAGCGCGCTGCGGGACGCGGGCCCGGGGCCGGGGGCGGGCGCGGGGCCGGCCGCGGGGCCCGGCGCGGGGCCCGGGCCGGGGCCGGGGCCGGGGGCGGGGTCGCTGCCGCGCCGGCCCAGCTCGGCACTGTACGTCACAGTAGCGCCCTCTATGTGTAGATGTTGTGTCGTAACGTGTCGTGTGCCCAGCCTTATGTGACGCTCTGTACTTTACTTGTCAGTGTTTATTGTTTAATAATTTGAGTTTACAATAAAATTATTCTTTGAATTATTTTGGTAGTATTTTATTAGAGCTTCATTAGTGTACGACAATTTGTATTTCCTATACTGTAACGATTTACAGTATAACTGTGACATTGTATGTGGTCTACAGTATTATTGATAGCGTACGACTGGTCGATGTTAATGATGGGGTCACACTTGTGATCTTGTTGCAAATATATTACAGACGCGCGCTGCATGTTTATTTTCCATCTGTTTTCCGTCTCAACTATTTTATTCTAAGCTTGATGAACATGACGCTGTACATGCATGTTGTGGGGCGCAATAATATCGAATGCTGCATGGTTTTATATCGCATACTTATCAGATTCTAATACGCTTTGTAAAACATATGAATGGCAATCGTATGACAAACGAGCGCGTGGATGCGCCAGGTCCGTGAGTGCGTGAGTAACGTGTGCGCGTGCGCAGGAACCCGTCGTCGGGGTCGCTGACGGCGTCCGCGTCCGAGGGCGGCTCGCTGGAGCGCGCGCGCGCCGCGCTCGAGCGACGCAAGCGCATGGCGCAGGCGCAGGACGACGACGCGCAGGTACCGCCCACTGCATCGCATTGCCCATTTTAAATTCTAACCGCCGGCGTGCGTACAAGTCATTTATTATTATTTTGCCATTAACTTTCCAGCACGTGGCATCAGGGCGCGTGGAGAACACCCGCGTGAACCCCGACTCCCTCATCGACGAGCTCCTCGCGAACACCAACCTCAAGCAGGCCGTGGAGGACTCCGCCGAGAGTGAGTAGTCCCCGCCGCTAGTTCGTGGTGTAGTAGAGCGCAGACACTGAGTGCGATGCTTGCAGCGTCGGGGCTGCAGCTGTTCATCTCGCGCGACGGCACGGCGGAGCTGGGCAGTCGCCAGCGCCAGCAGCTCGCGCGCCGCGACTACCAGCGGGTCGTGCTGCATCCGCACGACAACAGGTGCCTGCTTACCAAACTTGCATTACCCACATCATCTTCACCCTCTCGGCCGTCACTAACTCTGTATCATGACTACAGGTAGCCTACGGCGCGGAGACGGCGGCCACGGCCGGCGCGGCCCGGTCCGGCACGGGCCGGCCCGGCGAGGCCCGGTCCGGTGCGGCCAGGCCCGGCCCGGCTCCTGCCGCGCCCCTCGGCCGTTGTTGTGGACAGTATTACATGAGATTCACACCGACCTGCTCCTACTGTGTATTAGCTTTTATATACGTCCCGCCGGGACCTCGAGCAATGCATATACATATATTTATTGTTTTTATGTAATATAAATTATGCCATAATTGTTTTACGACTCGTAATTTAATGTTAATTATTATTATTCGGTAGCAGTTCTACAGAGAATGGTTGTGTTCGTGCAGTCCGACATGTTTTGTATGATTTACATTATTTTTATTTCTTTTTAATGTAAGTAGGAATCTTTTGAATTTAATGACGACCTACTCGACGACTGATTGTTCCTATATTCTCGTAGCGCCTGTGCTTCCTCCACTGTCTCCTGTAGACTCGTAGTCTCTTCCAGCCACTGTCTCTAGCCGACACAGGGGCGAGTGTAACGTGAAGTGCTCACAAGTGGTGCTACGTCAGCGCGAGACTGCGATACGCGCGAACTTTTGTTATTAATATATCAATGTAATTATTATTATTGATTGTAAAATGTCACCCATTCAGTGAACCGTGTAATTGAACAGTACTTCCAAATCCCTCCGTGTATATTTTCATTGTGATTTTTGTATAAATTATTTAATGTGGTGCCAAACGAAACTGCGCCCGCTCTAGGGGAGGGAACTAACAGATTATTTGATAATAGTGCGAGGAAGTAAATCTAAGTCATTCCGTTGCGTAGCTTGTACGCGTGGCTTGCCGTGACCAAACTGTCGGCTCGCGGTCACTGCGAGGCCCTGGTAGCCAGGAGTATTGCCACCGCCGAGAGTAGTCTGGCAACACTAGCGTCGGACGCGCGCAGTGACGCCGCGCGGCGCCCGCGGGAGAGCGGCGTACGTTGTTATTGTATCATATTCTATGAAGCCTGTACAGTATTTGAATAAAGGACGTGTCTAGAGCTACTATTTGGTGTTTTTTTCCCCCATTACTCCAAATATATTATAACTCTATGATAGAATAAATATGAATGAAATACATAACTTTTATAATTCAATACATAATTTGGTAGTTGTACCTGGAATGTTTTCTCGGGATTTTTGAAAATCGGCAATTTTATAGATCTTGATGTGCTCTTTTGGTCTCGTAATGACAATTACATACAAAATGCCCGAAATAAATCACTAGCTACCTGGAAGATAATTAACGCTAATAAACCTCATGTGCCTAAAGACCAAATACAGCAAATCCTTGATCAAGATGGGAACGTGGTATCTGACCCCAAGCAGATCGCAATCATTTTAATGACTATTATTGATCGGACTCCCCAATTTCAATGTCCAATAAATCAAGGATTAGTATTCCATATGAACTAAATTCAATGTTTGTAGGTCCAACTACACCAGAAGTTATTTTTAAAATTATTAGAGACTTACACAAACAGCACTGGCTATGGTATATCAACCAAAACTATAAAACATATACCTAGCCATAAAACTTTCATAATAACTAAGTCATACAATAAATCTAAGCATTACAACCGGTAATTTCCAGAAAAAACTTAAGTTAACGATGGTAACACCATTATTTTTATGAAAAATGATACACGTGACATGACACATGAGCTCCTACCGTCCAATAGCGCTTGTACCAGTCATATCAAAGATCTTTGAGAAGGTAATCCACGACAGTATCTATAATTACTTTGAGTCGAAAAAAATGTTTTGTGATGAATAAGTGGGGTTCTGAAGTCAAAGTCAAAAGCATTTATTTCAATTAAACCATAATTTGGTACTTTTGAAACGTCAACAAATGCAAAATAAATAAATAATAGTCTGTCAGACAGTCCGTCAGTGAAGCTAGGTGCTCATTCCAAAATGTAGAATCGGATGGAGAAGAACGAGAAAGAAACTCCATTCGGTATTTTTTTTAAAAAAGTAAGTTCTACAATGTCTCTGATACATATTCCAGTACTGTAGGTATGTACGTATATGCGAGAACAATGGAAAGACACGCTTGACGCATTATTCAAATTACAAAACTTACTAAAATTAAAAACAAAACAAAAAACGTTTTAGTCTAACATGGTACTACTAAATATGCATACTGACAATCTATAAAATAGTGCTTCTACTTATACATGAAAAAGGAAACTCTCTTTGTTTCAATAAAGAAAGAAATGTTCGAAACCCTTAGGAAAAGCAAGATTGTCTACATTAGAATGAAAGTATTAAATTGCCTACTATTGGATTCTAACTACTGACTACATTTGAGTATTGTCCAGTGGAGCCGAACCAACATGCTACCAAGCATTATTATCTTCAAGATAATCTATCAGTGTAGTAAGCTTGATTACATCATTCGCGCTTATATGTTTTAAATTTAATTTCATTGAACTATTTGGTGTTTTATTACAGCATTTAATACCTACATAACCCCATAAAGGATTTCTGTACCTTGGACAGTCTGAATTCCGGTATAGCTAACTTATTTTTACCTCTAGTATTAAAATGGTGTCTATCGCTTCTTTTGTCAAACAATTGCCTATTTTTCCTAACATACATACATTATATGTTCATGATTTTCATATATAGGTACATATATTGACAGGGCACCGTTTAATATTTATACTTTTAAACAATTCTCTCGGCGATTCGCAACGGCGTAAGTTATATATTGCTCGGATAGCCCGATTTTGTAGAATAAGTATTGATTCTATTTCTACAGCTCAACCTACAACAAAATGCCGTACGACATAATACTGTGGAAATAAAGCAGCTACTTTTGAGGAGATTGACAGAGTCATAACTATCAATAAACTATAATTATGTTACGTCTAAGTAGTATATGTAATACTAGCTTTTACCAGTGGCTTCGCTCGCGTCGCACAAAAGGATAAATAGTAGCCTATGTGACATATACCAATACACACAGCGCCATCTATACCAATACTTTTGTTTTCCCTCGGGAATATCAAATTTTTCCGGGATAAAAAGTACCCTATTATTTAATCCAGACTTCTAACTTTACGTCTGCAAAAATCAATTGTCAAAGCAATCGATTTAGTAGTTACGGCGTGAAAGCAGAACAAACAAACAAACTCACTTTCCAATTTATAATGGAAGTAAGGATAAGTATGTATTGTTATGTCTTATACATGTAAGTTTATATAGGGATTTATTTTATGTAAGTCTATACTATCCTGGATTTTTTATGCATTTCTGTTGAGTCTTAAATACGCTTGGTTCTTGCATCGACCATTGTTTTTGTCTCTGCATCACCCAAAGGTCTGGCTGGAGGAGAATGCCCTAGGCATTAAGCCCACCTTGTACATTAGTGTGTGCATAAAGTCTTTTCAAATAAAAATAAAATAACTGTCATGGATAAAGGTAAACAGGCATGTGCGTTATTTGTGGATCTCACAAAGCCTTTTGATTATGTAGATCACAGTAGGTACCTATATTGTTCGACAGTTATACGCCTATGGAGTGAGGGCAAATATACTTAGGTACATGATTTGATTAGATCTTATTTACAATAGAACTCAAATAACCCAAATAACTAAGGTATGTCCTATAACTAAAAAGGTAGTCAACCACTCATCCTCATGCAGAACAGTCAGATCGGGCATTCCACAAGGAACAGTGGTGGGATCCACTTCTATATATTCTACTTATATATACATAAATGACCTTCCAAAATCTTCAAAATACAAATCAGTCCTATTTGCAGATGATAGCACAATACTTTTTACCTGAAATGATAAAATTCATATGGAGACAGATAAACATGACTCTCGGAAATATAATAAACTGGTTGACATCAAATATTTTATTTATTAATCTCAGCAAAACTAATAATTAATGACATTAATAGAGAGAGAGATAATAGAGCGCCGAACGCGTACTCGTTTCGAATACTTTAAATGTAAATCAAACTCGTACTAAGGCCTCTGTAGGTACCTACTGGAGATTCAGATATAAATATATTAAAAAAAAATCTACTATAGCCAAAAGCATATTACGCTGTCAACGAGTATTTACAGGACAAGTTAATGTAAAATATATTATTATCGATCAGAAGATTTAAAAAAACAATATGAGATGTAGTTACATTTTATTAGATTATGCGAATACAATTTCAAATTAAACTTATCAACCGATGTTTATTTTAACCTTTTCGCCGCCAACGCACACAAAACGCAATGCCTCGCCGAGCGCCAAGCTATACCTAAATGTATAACTAAGTATACAGTAAACAGTAGTGATGGGGATGTCGTCATATCGATGAATAAGATTTGTAAAGTTAAGATTTAAAGTTGATTTTACGAATATAAATAAAAACTGATGAAATATTTCCAGATTTGTTTTATTTCACAATATCCTTAATAAGAAAAAACAGTATAAATTATGAGTATCAAAGAAACTAACACATAACTCAATTAAAACTATGAGGAATGGGGTACATGCCTATTTGTTTCATGATCTCATTCTTTAACTTCATATCAAGTCATTGGCGCTGAGGGCACGTTGAATTCGATACTGATCAGGGATGGGGTATATGGTCTTTCTTTCTATTTTTGTTTATTCCTGTTTTTTTAATAACTTCAGTCAACATTTTTTACCGTACGTATCTAGGTTGCTAGGTAATTCTCCTTTCCGCAGAATAATGTGACCAAGTAGATATAAGCACAGAATAGGTACATAAATCATAATATCTATCTAATCTATATAACGTTTCGTCCATTTCTATGATTTTTATACGAATTGCAATTTTTTTTTAAATCCTTTCATAAATCCCCAAGCGGTCACCGGTGACCGCTTTCCACTAATATTACATTACATTATAGACCTTATTTCTAATGTTTAGAGAATACTTTTGTATGAACAAATTTAGGGGATGGATATCAAAGGGTTAAAAAAAAAGAATTTCTAATAAAGTTAAAATTACAGTGCCTTCATACACTGTATTTACTTACCTACCATAATAGTGTATACCTAGAGTATCTACTGTAATTACAGTGCATCTGGAGATACTGGGCTCTTTGATGAATAAACATTATTATTATCATCCAGTTAGACATACCTCAGAATCATCTTCTGGTTCAATATTGTCCATAAAATACTCAGAGTCCGATTCCACACCATGCAAAATTTTTAAGAGTTCGTCCGAATTAAATGCCCGAGTGCGGGTTGTCCCGCGCTTTTTATAGTAAGTTCAAGATGGAGTATTGGTCATCCCTAACAATATAAAAATTTAAATTCACATAAATTACGTTACAATAATTGTGTTGATAGTTTGAATTTTGAATGTATTCATTTTTCCTTCGAATAACATTGTGATGCTGTCATTTTTGTAATTTTACCCATATTAGCAAATAAATGATTTGATTTGGATTTCTATTTTGCAGTTTTTTACGTGCGCCGCTCGTGCTATCGCGGTCATGGAAAAATGGCGGATAAAAAAATATTGTATACAAAATTAAACTTTTTTTCCCTAAATGCTCATGAAAATGTACTTTGCGGTGATCTAGCGCCAAAACTACTTGTATTACAAAAAAGCAAAAAAGACATAAATTGTAGAATTGTGAGTAGTTCAATGCAGATTCGGACATAAATCCTTTGATATGCTCAGTTTAAACGTACGCAACGCAGTTGCGATATTTGTGGCAAGTTTGTAATAGTTTTATTGTTTATTCGCTGAAATAGTAATGGTGATTTTTTTTATAAACGTTGGAACCACACTAGGATTTTCTCCTGTGTCGTGGGTGCGTTTACTAACATACAAATTCACATATACCTCTACAATGACACCCAGACGCTCGCCGACGGGCGGACTCTGCGCTGAATGAGTTAGGTAGTAATTCTCTTGGTATGTTAAATGATCATGGGCACTTTATTATGAACGTTGGACGTTCAACCAACAGAAATGAAATGTCATTTATTAAAATAAGTATTCGATGTCTAGATCACGTAAATAGTAATTATATTTTCATAAAGTATGGGGTTGTTCAGGTAATCACACTTCAAATGTTAGTCTTTAACGATATGAAACTCTTAATTGTTATTGTGTATTTAGTGATTACAACTAGTACATAAATAAATGAATAAAATAAGATAATTTAAAAAAGAATTAACTTTTTAAACTGTCAAACACCAAGCGGTCACCGGTGACCGCAACCTATTGTTCTATAATTGTGTCTATAATGACGGTACTCGACGAGTCGTTATCGTTTACTTTTTGTTTATACTGAAGTAGCTCTCGCTGAAGTGGCTCAGTTAATTAGTTACACCTATACTGCTTACTGACGTTGGCAAGCGTAGTTTAGAATAGACACTTCGGTTCGAGTTGTGCTGGTATCGGGTTCATGGGGACTCGAAATATAACAGTACAATAAAACAAGTATATAATTCAAGTAGTATATTCGTTTAATTGAGTAAGGCCAAAAGGCTAGGGTGCTATACACTAGGGTGCGGCTGTGGACGGTAACGAGCAGCCTCATACTATATATACATACGACTGCCGTCAGTCAGCGCAGTGTGCCGAGGGAATGTATCAGTTCCTTTATATACAACAGAGTGAATACAAGTTGACAGTGAACAATAGCGACTACAGTACCGTGACATTGTATTCCTGATTAACTTGTTTACAGTAAAACGTATATTGGTATAATAGTAAACCTACGTGTTTCTTACTATTGCGGATAATTTACATATTCACTCTGAAGCTACAAATAACAAAAACTCGTTAGTGTACTTTGATTATTACGAAATGTAGATAAAATGGTTAACACTTACTAATACTATACATATACAATAAATTTAATACTTTTAACGGACGGCCGAAATCTATAAATACTAATTTGGAACACTCATCTATACTTAGGGAGACAATTAACATAACACATAAACTGATACAACATACAAACAAAAAGTTATCACATAATACAATATTGAGTCCCGCAAACATGTAGCCGGCACGCGTGCTGCCGAGCCTTACTTACAGCTACGTTACACATGTACTTAGCCTAGCGATACACGAATACGGTTTAGCCCTCGCTATACAGTGGCTACTGAGTACACTAGAGTGTGGAGTTCACAATATACAGACTTGTCGTTAAGGCACTGACGGCTCGCCGCAGCCCGCCGCACTCGGGCCGCGCCCGCTATACTCTACTACGTCTCTGTACATTACGATATACTGGAATACATTAATCTATTATACATATACTTGTGTATTGCTGTCCGACAAAACAAGAGCTGCCATCCTCGAGGAGTTGCTCAAATAATAAGTGACGCGTGTCGCTAGTCGACAGTCGACAGTCGATAGCGCTGATTGCTTGCCTGGGGCAGCGTGCGGCGCGTCCGAGTGCGGGGCTCGTGTGGCGGACGAGGGACGTCTTCACTACATTGTAATTTAGAATCTTGCACGCTTCGATACCACTTAACATTACGCTTACACTAAAATACTGCTACACCGCGGGGTGTACCCTCGTTCTACTCTACAGAGTACAGTCTCGGCTCGAACGACTCGTAGCAGTAACGGGCTGGCAGTACAAGGGGCCCGGACTGCACAATAACGCGGCCGTTACTTCACTACGTCGCGTCGCCTCGTCCAGTACAATACAATCTACGAAGTCAATACATGATACGACAAATACAATGTTTACCATCATTATATCTAAATTCATCAAAATTGGTTTCTTATAAAAAATCCAAATTCCTAAGTTGAGGCACTGCGTTACTCAGTAGATAATAATATAATATTTGACAAATATATAATTATATATTTCATTAAACAGTCCGACATTGCACTATATACCATTATATCAAAATAATCGAGCTCTTACTCTATACTAATTATAATTATTTCCGTTTATTCGTAAATTTGTCATTTTTATAAAAAATGTACACTTGACGTGGGAAGAGTATCTTCCGCAGTCGCTGGAGACCAACGTCAACTGCATCATATCTATAGTAAAACTTTATTCTTATAATAGAAACCCGTACAAAATGGAGCCAACAATAACTTTCATCTCCAGCGCCTGTACTTATAATTTCATTTATGATATAAAATACTAACATAATTCGTATAGTGTGGTAAAGTAAGTACATTCTCACGGGAGGTATCACCGTTTACCTTAAAGCTAAGTATTAAGTTATTCACGCACGCTGTGTATAAACACGTACAGGTACAAACTGAAACACGTGACACACACGCACACATACACACCATCACACGCACACATTCAGACACAAGTGATCATAAAACACAAACAACTATCATTTGGTTGATATGCGATGAGTTTCGTGTCTTCATAACTTTGTAAAATTTTGTTCGATTCCATTTTATTCCGCATCTGAAACATTTATAAATAGAAATTATTTAGTGATTTAAACATTTATCGAAATAAAATGAAAAATAATGATAGGCGGACGCAATGACACAAAAGGTGCAGGGTCCCGTACCTGGCGGTGCGCTAGATGAGTCGTTCCTCCGGCGGCGGCTTGAGAGCGTGCTGCATCATCTCGGCGCGCGGGTTGCAGTACTCCTGGCCCGACGGCGAGTACGTGCCGCGCGTGGCCCGCTTGCGCCGCGCCTGCGCCCCCAGCGCGCCCAGCGCGGCGCCCGCCAGCGCCAGCCCCAGCAGCGCGGCGCCCACGCCGATGAGCACGGTGGAGGAGGCCGGGCCCCCGCTGGACGCGGCCGCCAGGGCCTGCGAGCAGTTGAGCCCGCCCCAGCCGTCCGCGCAGTGGCACACGTAGTCCGTGCGCGCGCCGCAGCGCTGCTCGCACCGCCCGCCGTGCAGGCAGGGGCCCGAGCTGTTGCCTTCGTCCGGCCCATAGCACGGGTCCTTCAGCGAGCACTCGTGGCCGCAGAACCCGGCGGCGCACAGGCACCTGCGACAAGCACGGCCGTGAGTGGCAGGCGGGGGCAGGCCAAGGGGGCAGTGGCTAGTATACTGACGTGTAGGATCCGTTGAGGTTGAGACAGTCGCCGGGCCCGCAGCTGACGAGGCCGGCGGCGCACTCGTCCACGTCCACCTCGCAGCGCGCGCCCGTCCAACCTGACACCCGCCAATGTACCGTTTAGTATCAATTCAAAACAACATACATTCAAACACGCAACAATTACATTATTCATTTAATGGAGACATGACAAACAGTTACAGACATACGTTCCCCCGAATTTCCCCCTATTACGAATTAGGGGGAAGATACTACTAAAATTCCCATTTTTCCCATTTGATGGAAAACATGCTACGGAAGATGTAATGTGTAAAGTTGTGGTGGCCCGGGTTCGAAACCCACCAACGGCAAATACCATTTTCCGAGTTATATGTACTTTCTAAGATTATTTAGACACAACTGACTAACGGTGAAGGAAAACATCGTGAGGAACTTGGGCTTATAATTTCTAATTATAACTTTAAAATGGGCAACCTACATTGAGCAAGCGTGGTGATTAATGCTCAAACCTTCTTCATGTGAGAAGGTGCTTTGCTCAGCAGTGAACATTTATAGCTGTTGATGTTGGTGGAGGGAGACGGGAATGAACCACGATTTTTATAAATGACCACGGTAACGGTAAAACGGGTATCACCTATACTTCATTATTTTACTACCATTTACCATGGTCCATCGTTTCCAAACTGAAGCTTGGTCATTGTTCTCGGTTGAAGTCGTTATCAATGGGATGTCGTCAGGGCTCCATTATTGGGCTAATAGTATTTATGGAATTTAGGATTTGATGATTTGCTCGCGATTCCCCTTCCTTGTGGCTGTACTTTGACTGGATATGCGGATGATGGTCTTTTGCTAGTACAATCAAATACCCGCGCCGGACTGGAGAATTTGGCTAAAGAGTGTCTCAGTAGGATCTCGCGATGGGGCGAACGAAATCGCTTGACTTTTGCACCCCATAAAACTTACCAGCTATTGCTTAAAGGAAATCTAAAGTCGTGACCGTCTATTAAATTTAACAATGTTTCCGTAAAACGAAAGGAGTCTGTTTGTTACCTCGGTCTAGTTTTGGAAAAAAACTTTCTTTCATTGAACATATTAAGGCTATTAGTCAGAAAGCCACCTGGGGTCTCTTTTTTCTTACGCTCAGGATCATATACGGAGCAACCTACCTGGGATGCGTGTGCTACGGGGCACCTATCTGGGCTGATAGGGCCACAATAGGCGCGGTACGGTGAAAACTTCTCCAAGGCCAGCGTCTAGCCTTGATTTTCCTGCGTAAGGTCTATAGGACGGTTAGCACTGAGGCCCTACCTGTGCTCGCGGGCGTACTTCCGGTAGATCTTGAGGTGCAGCGACGTGCTGCTATGTACTACAGTGCGAGGCCTAATTTGTCAGCAAGCTTTCTAGCACAACGTGATAGAAATAAATTGCTAGATTGTTTAAACCAATAACGGACATTTGGGGCGAGCTTATAACCGAATGGCAGTGTAGATGGGCATCTTCTATTAAGAGCCGCCACTTGTATCAGTTCTTCCCATCCGTGCATGAGCGGCTGGAGAGGCCATGGTTGGAGGTGGATCACTGTGTTGCCCAATTTCTTACTGGCCACGGCAACTTTGAAAGCAAATTGTTCTCATTTAAACTTATTGATTCACCATGGTGCCAATGTTCGACAGAGGAGTTGCGATACGAGCAGTCGGCCCATCACATACTCTGGGAGTATGATCTCTGGCAATATGAACGTAACACTATGTTAAATAATTTAATTGTTTCGTCAGGTGTAGTTTATTATACGGACTTTGTGGAATCTAGAACGAATTTCCGTGCGTTTAGGCGTTTTTGCAATACCTATTATTGGAAGCAAGTATAACAGCTCACACATAGGACCCACATAGTTTTTAGTCAAATTTCCGTGGTGCTTGGCGACTGGGCTTCACCCAGTTGTACAGTCTCTTCTTTGTGCCTTTAGGCTTAATTCATTCTGTCTCCTGCAGTAATTCACCGAGGGAAGTGGAAACTATCGTTTTTTTCTTCTGCTCTTATAATATCTTCTGATTCACTTCGTTGCGGGAACCAAGACAGTTACTCATGTCCCTGGGACGCGCCGGATTTCAGTGTTCCGGTGTTTTCATGGTTGTATCTACTGTGATTTTTTTTTTTATTTTTATTTTTTTTATTTTATTCAAACCATGCACTTACTGGCTTACAGTGGGTACCAACACGCCAGTAAGCTAGTTAATTAAAATAAGAAAAAAAATATGTCATAAAAAGTAATAAAAATAGAATACAATACAAATAAATAATGTCAAATAAATAAATCCTGGCTCACTCAGCCAGGAGTTGCAGCGGTTTTGGGAGGTTGTGGCGGGCTTGTCCCATTAAAAAAAAGGTTCATCGTTTGTCCAATATCTTCGGCATTAGTCAAGCACATTTCTTAGTCAAACTTGAAAAAAATTCCAATATTCTATGAACTTAGGATTTATAAAATAATATTATTATTGTGTATTTGATGATTAGAACTGGTAAATATACTACTATAGTATGATAATTAAAAGAGAGAATTAGGTCAAGTACGTTTAATTTTTGTCGGGCGTCATTTTGAAATTAACACTAAAATTTAAATAATGAAAAATGTTGGAATCGATCTGTTCTATAACTCCACACGGGCTGTTGTCTAATTACAAATCACCCTGTATAATTATAATTCGGTTACAGCCTCGGAATAACTGAAAGCTGAGGGATTCTACACGTTCCGTCGCGCGAGGACGGAGCCCGGAGGGCACTCAGGTGATCAGTATCGTGTTATAATCGCACCGCACTGATAACGTTATCGGATAACATTGTATTCTTGTGATGAATTATATTATGACGCACCGCATCACTACAAGTAAACAGCTGTTTTACCGCGGTAAGGTAAAATGACAACCGAAGATAAAAAGTGTTTGGGCGACGAAGTGGAAATATATCATTTATGTACTTGTTGGTCGACTGACAACACTCAATGCAGTGGCAATGAGAGGACCAGGAAACTAGTGCGACGGGGTCACTTCTTACTAACGTTTACACTTTGTAGTAAGCGAATGAACAGATTCACACACTGTGCTCACTAGCTTGTTCCCGTGGTTTAACTCATATTCACTGGGGCACTGCCTACAGTATGTAGTTGTAACTGAGCGCCTATCCTGACGTCGTAATATATTAATCTAGCAAGCTAGCAGCTACAAATACAAATATTAGATCAAGTATAATGGTTTAATCAGAACACTGGTAAAAGTAATAATAATATTCAGTGAGTCCGCGTGACGCAGGAGGAAAATTATAAGTAAACGTGTTACATAAATCTGTGCTGTCCAGTGAGGACGGCGAGTTCTCACAAGGAAACCAGGCGTTACTGGATGTGTACAGGGACATTATTCCTGCGTGGTGCGAGGGGACACGGTGACACACTCTGTTTATCTAGTCGGCGCCACTATCAGGGACACGAAACAATGCTATGATTTCAGCAACTTCGTGCTGACATCAACAATTATCACAGTTAATGACAAGGTAACAATGGCATCTAATTAATATTTCATTGATATTGTATTGATGTGTTTCTATGATATTTATTTTAGTTTGGGGCAACGAATTCAACACATTCGTAGAATCGGTATTACAGACAGATGTAAGTCGCGCGGGTGTGAGTATATATGCCAGTGATACGATACCTAGCAGCAGTACAAGCAGCAGCGCCTGCATGGTGCGCTGCACATGGCCGCCAGCTCCAGCACTACGTCGGCCACTACTGCGCGCCGCCCGCGACGTGGAGCCCACTGATTCACAAACTGTGACGACAGCGCGATCCTACCTCGCTCGCTACTGACCAATGATTGCCAAGACGACACTATTCACATTGTACTCGCATTGATTACCGCGCGCGACTGACGACTGCTTACTGCCTCCTACACGCTCACATTGCGTCAGATGCGTCTGCCTCGACATACATGTAATTACGATTTGTTTTAAATATGGCATAGATGGTTTATTTTGTTTATATGTTATATCCATTTTATTTAAAATTCTAAGAACGAAATAACGAATACCATAACAAGTAAAACAAAGACTTGTGTTCATAGTTATGTCGCATCACAAAATGTGGCGACTATGATTCATCAACGTTTCTAAGCAAAGTAATCAATTAGGTATTTGTTCGTATCATTTGTATATACGTAAATAACTGGAACATGTGCACACGGACCGCCTGGAGGCAAACAGTGTTTATATAAAAGTTTGTGAGCCACTGTCTATGTTATCGTTATCAGTTACATCGCGAGCACTATCGAGGATCTCGAGCGGACGATAACACACGCTTGTGTGTGTACGTACACACGTGTGTGTGTGAGTGTGTGTGTGTGTGTGTGTGTGTGTGTGGGAAGTATGACAGTGGGACAGCAGTGATATGGCGGTGCGCGTCCTATATACAATAACTTGCACTAACAAATATTTGTCCACATATTATATACCTTTAATCAGGGACTTCTAGTATAGGTAATGGTCCACATATTTTATGTCTTAAATATGGTTTTATAATAACTAGTGAATAGTTATTAGTTCAATGTATATTACACCAAGGTTACAATTCTGGTTTTAGTTGATTTCTCGAATGCCTTCAATATCTCTGACAAACCAATGAACTGGTTCTCTTCTTATCTTCAGGAGCGTCAGCAGTCGGTCAAGCTTGATGATGGTTCGTCTAATTGGCGTGAATTAAGGGCTGGCGTTCCTCAAGGCGGTATACTATCTCCTCTTCTATTTTCTATGTTCATTAATTTTATAACTTCTGAACTTCGGTGTGCGTACCATCTGTACGCTGACGACTTGCAGCTATATCGTCAAGCTGATGTTGATGGGCTGTCTGATGCGATCTCGGGGATGAACGTTGACCTGGCGGCCATTCAAAACTGGTCCAATAGGTTTGGCATAGCAGTGAATCCTGGGAAATGTCAGGCCATTCTTATAGGTGGCTCCCGCACGATGAATGGAGTTGACATGGCTTCCTTGCCGGCCGTAGTTTTCGATGGAGCAGTAATCCCGTATAGTGATGAGGTGAAAAAACCTGGGACTGCGTATAGATAATAATTTGAAGTGGCATGCTCAGGTCACCAGTGTGTGCAAAAAAGTTACTGGATCTTTGCAAGCTTTGTATCTTGCGAAAAACTTACTTCCTCCCGCTACGAAGGCTATGTTGGTGCAGGCTTTGGTTTTCCCTATTATCGATTATGCTGATGTGTGCTACTACGACCTGAATGCAGATTTCCTCAACAAACTTGACCGACTTCTGAATAACTGCATTTGATTCGTTTTCAACCTGCGTAAATATGATCATGTTTCTGCACATCGGCTGCAACTAAAGTGGCTGCCCATACGCCAGCGCAGGGAGCAAAGGGCGCTAACCACTCTATTCTCCTTTCTTTGTTCACCTTCTTTACCCAGTTATCTATCTCCTTACTTTCAATACTTGTGCGCAAACTACAGTAAAAACCTTCGTTCTTTCCATAACCGTCTTCTCCAATGTCCCACTCATCGCACTGACTTCCTTCATTCTTCTTTTTTCGTGCAGGCAATTTTGCTGTGGAATGCGCTCCCCCTGGATGTCAGGATGGTGTCGACACGTCTAACATTTAGGCAGAAAGTACGTGAGCTTCTCTTGAAGAGGTTGGCTGAATCATCACGCTAATTATTTACAGAGTATTAGTAATTATGTTCATATTTATATGCTATGAGTCTATGTATGTATGTACGTATATATATTGCAAGTATATATATTATATTGTACTCGTGTGTAGGTATATATATTACTATTATATTTATTTATGTTCATTTCTGAAATATGTTAGTATAATCTTCTATTTTCTCAATTAAATCGTTGCCTGCCAGTTCTTGCTCCTACCATTCACTCTTCTCTGCATCACCCAAAGGTCAGACTGGGAGAAAATGCCTGCAGCATTAAGTCCACCTTGTGTACATTTTGTGCATGAAGCGTTAATAACTAAATATATTCATGGGAAACTGTAATATTGTTCAATTTTATAAAACTTCTCTTCACGTTCATCAGTGGGACAACTAGTAGGGTCATAGAAAACAACAACGTGTAGGGATGGGTCGCGGGGAGTCGTGGCCATCAGGCGCCCGCACAGAGCGAGCATTCGCGAGGCATGTGCCGCGCGAAGCAGCTCGCTCCGTGCGGACGTGGCTCGGCCTGCCGGGCGAGCGTCCGCCCGAGCCATCCAGTGTCGGCTTTTTGTTTTGCTCAAAGGCGCCTCAGTCGTTTCCGACCGAGCACAGTCGGCGGGCGCGTCCAGACAGCGGCCGCCGTGCAGACAGGTCCGACCGACACAGGGCGGGGTGTGAGTGAGCACGTACCGGTGTCGCGGCAGTCGCAGCTGTAGTCGGCGGGCGCGTCCAGACAGCGGCCGCCGTGCAGACAGGTCCGACCGACACAGGGCGGGGTGTGAGTGAGCACGTACCGGTGTCGCGGCAGTCGCAGCTGTAGTCGGCGGGCGCGTCCAGACAGCGGCCGCCGTGCAGACAGGTCCGACCGACACAGGGCGGGGTGTGAGTGAGCACGTACCGGTGTCGCGGCAGTCGCAGCTGTAGTCGGCGGGCGCGTCCAGACAGCGGCCGCCGTGCAGACAGGTCCGACCGACACAGGGCGGGGTGTGAGTGAGCACGTACCGGTGTCGCGGCAGTCGCAGCTGTAGTCGGCGGGCGCGTCCAGACAGCGGCCGCCGTGCAGACAGGTCCGACCGACACAGGGCGGGGTGTGAGTGAGCACGTACCGGTGTCGCGGCAGTCGCAGCTGTAGTCGGCGGGCGCGTCCAGACAGCGGCCGCCGTGCAGACAGGTCCGACCGACACAGGGCGGGGTGTGAGTGAGCACGTACCGGTGTCGCGGCAGTCGCAGCTGTAGTCGGCGGGCGCGTCCAGACAGCGGCCGCCGTGCAGACAGGTCCGACCGACACAGGGCGGGGTGTGAGTGAGCACGTACCGGTGTCGCGGCAGTCGCAGCTGTAGTCGGCGGGCGCGTCCAGACAGCGGCCGCCGTGCAGACAGGTCCGACCGACACAGGGCGGGGTGTGAGTGAGCACGTACCGGTGTCGCGGCAGTCGCAGCTGTAGTCGGCGGGCGCGTCCAGACAGCGGCCGCCGTGCAGACAGGTCCGACCGACACAGGGCGGGGTGTGAGTGAGCACGTACCGGTGTCGCGGCAGTCGCAGCTGTAGTCGGCGGGCGCGTCCAGACAGCGGCCGCCGTGCAGACAGGTCCGACCGACACAGGGCGGGGTGTGAGTGAGCACGTACCGGTGTCGCGGCAGTCGCAGCTGTAGTCGGCGGGCGCGTCCAGACAGCGGCCGCCGTGCAGACAGGTCCGACCGACACAGGGCGGGGTGTGAGTGAGCACGTACCGGTGTCGCGGCAGTCGCAGCTGTAGTCGGCGGGCGCGTCCAGACAGCGGCCGCCGTGCAGACAGGTCCGACCGACACAGGGCGGGGCCCGTGCGCGCAGGTCCGGTCGCGCGGCGCCGCGCACGTGGGCCCCCGCCAGGCCGGGCCGCACGCGCACGAGTAGCCGCCCGCCGCGTCCGTGCACGTGCCGCCGTGCAGGCACGGGCTGGACGCGCACTCGTCGATGTCTCGCTCGCAACTGTACGCCAGGGACGCAACCATTACACATTGTGCGCCCGATCTGTTTCTTACCGACATCAAAAAAGTCGAAAGCACAACACTCGTTCATGTCATACGATTAACGACTTATTTGCCAAGGAAAAAATAAAATGTTTCGAAAAAAATTAAATTAAATATTTTGACTTAAATTAAATATTTACAATATAATTATTATATGTTTACACAAATATCACACTGAAACCATCAACATAACTTCGCAATTTAAAGGTGTCAAATGTATCAGTTTACATTACACAAATTTATGTCGATAGTCGAATGATAGCAAAATTAAAATGAACATTAATTCATATTTAACGGTCCGAGGCGAGCGCGGCACGCGACCGGCGATGCAGTAACTCACAATTCTCCCTCGAAGCCGTCGGGACAGATGCAGGTGTAGGAGGCCACGCCGTCCCTGCAGGTGGCGCCGTGCTGGCACTGGTGCGCGGCGCACTCGTCCACGTCGGTCTGGCAGTAGTCGCCGGCGTACCCGCGCGGGCAGGCGCAGGCGTACGACGAGCGCACGTCGGCGCAGCGGCCGCCGTGCTGGCAGTCGCGCTCCAGGCACAGCACGCAGCCCAGCCCCGCCGCCGCGCCCCACGCGCGCCCCGCCGCCAGCGCGTAGTGCGGCTGCGCCGCCAGCAGCGCCGCCGTGGCGCCCACGAACAGCTCGTGCTCCGTGAAGTACGGCAGGAGCAGCCCGCCCACGTGCACGGCGCCCATACAGCCCTGCACGCATTGGACGGTACTATACGGCACTTGTCAGGGAATGACAATTACATTTTTTTATGGCATAAGTCGGTCAACGAGCAGACGGATCACCTGATGGTAAGCAATCGGCGTCGCCCATGGACACCTGGAACACCAGAGGCGTTACAAGTGCGGTACCGGCCTTTTGGGGATTTGGAGTTTGAGGATCGTTGGGGATTCAGGAATTGGGGAACTTGGGGAAGGAGAGGGGAAACACAAATTCGGCACGAATAGGCCGGCTCGACCGGAGTGATACCACGGCCTCACAGAAAACAGACGTGACGCAACGCTTGCGTTGTCTTTCGTCGTGTGAGTGAGATTACCAGAGGTCCAATTATCTCCCTTCCCCTCCACCCCATTGTATTGTATAATTGTCCTCAATACTTTAAAAGAGCAGGAGCGGAACTGAGGGCAGTCTGAATTTGTATTTTTTCTTTAAAATCTCTGATTCCAATAAAGCTAAATGCTATATAACAGTTTTCTACTGGCAGTCACAGGCTTAAGCAATAAAAGGAGATTTTTGGTAGTATTTTCACATATCGGGTTACATTATCAAAAATTTCACAGGGTTTTATTAAATATAGCCTATGTTCGTCTTCGATAATGTAGGATTTCAACGGTAAAAGAATTTTTTAAATTGGTCCGGTAGTTTCGCCTTTGAGAATGTGTGAGTTGAGATTAAATTCAAGTAAACAAAAAATCTAATCTTTCTTCTTTAGACTATTAGTGTAGATTTCACATAGAAAAATAGCAAAAATAAATCTGTAAAATTGGGAGTTAGTGAGAAGTTTCATAGGACCGTATTTTGTGGTGTACGTGTGCATCATCAAAACGGATGTATATAATATTAGAACGAAGCCCACCTTGAAGTACTCCCCGGCCAGGTTGTCGGGCAGCACGTCGTCGCCGTCGGCGTAGTCGGCGCCGGCGTCCGTGGTGGTGGGCGGCGCGGGCCGCGCGGGGCCCATGCCGCCCAGGTGCAGCGTGCCGGCCGTGACCAGGCGCTGCCAGGCGCGCGTGTCCAGCGCCGCGCTCAGCGCCGGCTCCTCGTGGCCGGCCGCGTCCAGCACGGCGCCGCGCAGCGTGTCGCCGGCGAAGTAGAAGCGCAGCGT